ATCGTCAAATGATAATTCTTTATCAAGTAGCGATAGTGAAGACGAGCAGCCCCTTTCTAATTTCATTTCCCACAAGTCATCAAGGTCTGCACCCCCAGCTAAAAAGAAAAAATCTACACATTGGAAAAAAGAGGAACCCGCTTTTATTTGTACTGAATATCGTCCACAGCCACCATCAGATGAAAGTAAAGCATGTCAAAATCCACTAGAATACTTCTAAATATTTTTTCACAATGATCTTATCAAACATATAGTCAAACAAACAAACCTGTACGCTTTGCAAAAAAATTAATCTTTGATGGTAACGGAAGACGAGATCTACGTTATATTAGGAGCGATGCTATTGTCTGGTTACGTCAAGTTGCCAAAAAAAAGATTGTATTTTTGCAAAGATAATGACGTGCCTACAATTCTCCAGGATAGCATTAGATGCAATCGGTTCGAAATAATTTTCAACACGTGCACTTGAACGACAACAGCGAGCTCGGTGAATCTACAGATAGATTGCATAAATTACGTCCTATTATTGAAAGTCTAGGTGAATGATTCCAAAAACACTACGGAATGGATGAACAGTATAGTATAGATGAAAGCATGATCCCTTACTATGGGAAACACTACGCTAAACAGTTCATCCGTGGAAAGCCAATAAGATTTGGTTTCAAAAACTGGGCAATGTGTGCAAGTACCGGATATATGGTAGCTTTCAGCTTATACACGGGAAAGAGTACCGAAAAAAAAGATTTTGGACTAGGTGGTGATGTTGTTCTCCAACTAATTAGATTGAGCAAACTTCCGCCTAATAGTGGCATAAAATTGTTTTTTGACAATTATTTTACATCTTTGAGCCTTATGAGACACCTGAAGGAGATCGGCTATTATGCTACGGGAACCTTGAGAGCTAATCGCACTGAAAACTGTACTGTCAAAGACGTAAAACAATTCAAGAGGGAAGCGCGAGGTCATTACGATTACCGATTAGCTGATGATGCCGGTATGTATGCCGGTGGAATGATAACAATGTTGTCACAGTAGCCACTAACTTTGAAAATCTTGCAATTACATCTGCAACCCGCTGGTCTAACGAAAAAAAAGCTAAAGTGCAAGTCCCTCAGCCATCACTTATTTCAAATTACAATAAGTATATGGGTGGAGTAGACAAATGCGACCAGACCGTGGCAAATTTACGAACTCGGATGCGAATAAAGAAGTGGTGGTGGCCCATATTTGCATATTTAGTAGACGTGTCGGTAGTAAACGCCTGGTTACTTACTCGGAAGAATGGCTGCACGAGAGACACCGAGTCCTTATTCGTTTTTAGACGGTTCATAGCAAGAAGCTTGCTTTCCACTCATGGCATACCGCCGCATCAAGGCCGCAAGCCATCAAAACCAATATGTACAATGAGATACGACGGTAAAGGACATTGGCTGGTCCCAATAAATACTGAACGTCGGTGTGCAAATCAATGTGGCGGGAAAAGTAAATTCCAGTGTCAGAAATGTGATGTAGGCCTTCACCCGAAATGTCACATGGCATACCACGTCGTAAATTAAAATCTATTTATTTTCTCTTGCTTATTATAGTAAATTTATTCATGAAAGTCGTACTTTTATTTTCATATATTTTTAACCTCTACAGTGTCCGCCGTGCATAACGTCCGATTTATCGGACGGGCTATAAAATCTAAACTTTCATATTGATTAAATATTTTATATAATTTAATGGTCAAATACACTCGAAATGAAAATATATTACAGTGATCATAATGAAAAAAGCGTTAATAAACTTTATGCACTAATGGGTTAAATGAACAGAGTAGCAACTAACTAATAATCAATGTATTTACCTTATCCACTAGTATTTATATAATAATAAATGCTTACATCTAAATATTTATTGAGAGCAGCTACTGCTGCTGACAAAGGTTATTGATGTGGGGTTAGCCACCTTAACACACACGCAATGTTAGATTACTCTATTCTTGGTTTACAAGATGATGACAATCCGGAAACATACTGGGCTAAAGTGTTCCGTCTTAAAAACAGTGCAGGTCATGGAATGTTTTTAAATTTGAAATATGCAATAAGCCTATTGTTCGTTTTACCCTTTTCGAATGCATCTATTGAAAGAAAATTTTGCGTTCTGAAGAATTTGAAAACAGAATCGAAATCGGCTGCAGAATGATACTGTTGTGGCGCTATGGCCACTAAAGACGGTATTACGAAAAAAGGAGGCAGCCTAAAATTTGAACCGTCTAATGATATGTTAACGAAGCAAATTTGGCGCAGTGAAGAGCTGTAGTAAATACGTCAACTAAAATAAATAAATACTTAATTATAATGCCCTTCGCACACGGAGCTATTTAAAAAGAACTAGTCACAAACTTAAATTACTAATGAGTTGCCTGAGCGACACGACCCATACATGTTCATAGGAGTTTCGCACACGACGCGACTAGTTACTAACAGTGTTGCCAACTTAGGCGATTTTTCGCCATTTAGGCTACTCAGAACGAGAACCGGCGACGAAAACATCTAAAAGGCGACTGGTCGCCAATTAGGCTACTCTAGGGGCAAGTTTTTTAGGTAAAAAGGCATACGGCCGCGCGTGCGTGTGTATAGTGTTGGTAAATTTAATATCTTTGCGATGATCACCCTCTTTGTTTGTGGTTGGCTAGTTTCGGGGAATACCCTTAATTTTATTATGTTAGTTATTATTTCTTAGTTTTTATGTAACTAAATTAAGAATTTATTTTGCGAATAATGACTACCGCAATCATCTGTGTTATATTAACTAAATAGTTCAGATAAATTCCGGTTATTAATTTGTCACTTTCGCTTTCGTTTTGTTGTTTCGCTCTTGTGTAATTTTTAAAGCTATTTTACTTTAATTTGTGTTTCGAAGGCTTTCTGTGGAAAATGGGTAAACACGGTAAATATATAAAACATTATTGTGATGAATGGGAAAAACTACCAGCATTTAAAAGTAAGTAAAACCGTTTTATATCATGTTTTGTGTGATGTAGGTAAGTATATTATCTGCTACATGGTCTTACTACTACCAGACTAAATCAGAAAGCGTGGTTTTTAGTTTCACTATCATTTTTTTAAATATTTGCCCGTCTGTTTAAGATGTAATAGGTAGACTAACCCCCGGTTTCTGAAACGCGTGTCAATGTTAACAATCAATTAAAGTTATATCTGTCTCTATCTTTATCTCACAATAAATAGAGATGGCACATTTTAATTGACTGTTGACATGTACGAAAACTGGGGGTCAAACTGCACAATTAGCAAGAAATATGATCTGGTTACCAACCACTAGTACCAAAGGATGCCAGCGCCTTATTTCGGCCCCCTCCTAAATTCGGCCACTTCATACAAAATACTAGATAAGCTATGTTGCTATATGCAAGTCTTGCATATGTTTATATTATTATAATATATATTATTGATTTCAGCTATGCCGAATTTAGGGGAAAATATGGCCGCGTCTAGGGAAGAAGTCGCTGAATTTTGGGAAATTGGGTCTCTCGTCACACTTTATATTTTTTACGATTTTATTATCATCGTTTCCTGGTTTTTATCGCAATTATTATAAAGAACAAATACATATCAACTGTACCTAAAAATTTTACTAAGCTGGAGTTACATTTCAATATTATTCAATATGTCCTTAAGATTGAATTTCAAAAATGGTTGACATGGCCGAAATAAGGGCACTTCACCCTATCTACCTATAATTGCTACCTAGCGTATTATTGAGTTCAATTTCATTTACAGATTGGCTTAGTCGAGCACCTGTTAAACTGACAGATAATGGTAAAGGTGAGGCATTTTGTAAAATATGTATCACACCACTCCGTGCGCACAAAACCGATTTAGAAAAGCACATGAAAACTAAAACACATAAAGACAGAGAATTAAGATTTTCAAAAAAGCAAGCCAAACTTACATCATTTGGCTACTCCTCAATTAATAACAGTTCATCAAAAGAAAAAATAATAGACATACAAATATCTGCCTATGTTGCTGCTCACAGCTCTATACGGAGCATTGATCATCTGACAGATGTGTTAAAAACCTGTGGGACAGGAAGTCCTCTTGAAAACATTCAATTACATAGATCAAAATGTTCAGTCATTATTAAAAATGTTCTAGAACCAGCCATGCTCAAGGAACTTTTAGAAGAAGTTGGTAACCAGAGCTACTCTATTATACTGGATGAATCCACCGACGTAACAACAGAAAAGTACATGGCATATTGCATCCGATACTATAATTCAAAACTGGGAAAAATAGTTGTTGATTTTTTAGGCTTTCAAGAAGTATTTGAAGCATAATCCTTTAAGATTTTCATGTCTAAAATGGGTTTAAATCTTCAAAATCTAATTGCAATAGGAACTGATGGAGCAAGTAACCTTTTTCACTCTTTTACAAGCAGATATACCTAATTTACAGCTATTGAAATACGTGTGTCACGCCCTTAGTTTATGTGCCTCCAAAGCGTGCACGGAATTACGGTCTTGTCTGGAATATTTACTTAGAGAAACCAGAAATTAGTTTGCCCACAGTCCATTGCGAATGAAAATATATCAGACCTTATTTGAAACCATTAATGATGGTAAAAAACCCTTGAAACTAACTCAGCTATCCGCAACTAGATGGCTGGCGTTTCATTCAGCTGTTAAAACAAACATCGACCAGTGGCTTGAGCTAAAAACTCACTTTAATTTGGTGAAATCATCAGAAAGATGTTATACAGCAAGGGAGCTTGCTGCCATGTATAATGATGATACAAATTTATTATATTTATTGTTCTTGTCTCCGATATTAAAAGAAGTAACAAATGTAAATATTATATTTCAAGCAAGTGATGCAAATATCACAAAAATACATATGTAGCGATCTTCGGATTCTTTTACTTTCCATTGCAAGACGTGTTTTCAAACCATATTTCTAAGAACTCAAAGTCTCTCTGAAAATGCCTCTCTAACAATGCTTCATGAAGCAGATATTGCAGCTGTTAGGCGAGCTTTAGAAAAAGCTGGATCTTCATTTGAAAATTCACTGCTTCCACTGGACTCAATCGACTTTGGAGAAAAATTTAATGATTTGCTCGTAAAAAAGACTGTTTCTGCTGGCAAAGCTGAAGAAGTGAAACAACGATGTTCTGCTTTTCTTGTACGGTTAATAAGAGAATTAGTTGACAGGTTACCGCTTAATGTATCGGTGGTGGAAAAAATTCAAATTTTGGCACCGAGCCGCGTATGCCTCTCAACCAGCAAACCCAAAATTGAAGATTTTCCCTGGCAGTTAGATGATTCCAATATTGACCAAGAAGCTATTATGAACCAATGGCGCGTATTAAGCACTATGCGCATTGAGGAGGTAATCGGAACAGCTGCTTCTCCTAATGATATTGTAAATTTTTGGATACAAGTGCTAAAAATGATGAATGCTGGTGGAAGCCAGATGTTCAAAGAGCTAGCAGAGTTTTCGATACGATGCCTTTCATTACCTTTGAGTAATGCCGTCGTTGAAAGAATTTTCAGCGTAATGGGGACAATCAAAACAAAATTAAGGAATCGCATGCAACTACCCATATTGATCGCCATTCTTAGAATTCGAACCCATATGAATGTAAGAGGTATGTGTTGTAACAACTTTGAACCAAGCAATTACATGGTCAGTTTACACGCTGGCAGAAAAATGTATGTCTCCGATGGATCTTGCGCCAGTACTAGCACATCAACAACTTCTGAAGTCGGTGAAAGTCTTATTGATGCCTTATTATTGCTAGCAGAGGACGAATCAGACTAGTTCTAATTTTTGTTAATTTGTTTATTAGTTTTTAAAATGTAAATTTTAATTACATTATAACGTGTTAAAGATGGCTTATGCCTCCTGATCACTGTGTTTTGAACGTATATTATAAATAAATTGATAAAAACTACATTTTATTTTATTCATATTGATGTTTTTGTGTTTGGGCTACTATAACTGAAATTGGGCGATATTAGGCTACTTAATTCATGAGAAATGGCGATATTAGGGCTAGGGCTGTTGGCAACACTGGTTACTAACTGGTCAGTAACGCGTTAGCAACCGATCACGCGCGACGCGTCGTACCGGTCACCACGCTACTGGTTTCCCGAGTTTCTTTGTTTTTTGTTATAAAAATGAACGAGCAAACATTAATTATTCAGTTTGTGAAGGAGGTGGAAAAATACCCATGCTTATATAATTATAAAATAACAGAATATTCACGAAAGGATATAACAGAAAGAGCTTGGAGTGCAGTGAGAAAAGTGTTTAATTTGACAAGTGAGTATTTTTTAAACGGTTTTATTTAGCTTACCCCGTTTGTTTTGTTGTTTAAATTTAGTAATTGAAATTGAATTCACCTTGATTAATTTTCAAATTAATTAATTTTCGCCTTCTTTCCGTCAACTGATTGATCTGAAATTTAGTATACGCCTTTGATTCTGATGACAATACAATTATGTACATTCAATATTATTGTGAATTCAAGATGGCCGCCGCTACAAGATGGCGGACTACTTATTTTTTCTTAATCCCATCAATATAGATATCAAATGAAAGGGCATGTTAAGTAGAACACAGTGCACTATACAAAATCAAAATCAAAGATGGCCGCCGCTACAAAATGGTGGATAATATAGTTTTATTCAATCACATCAATATGGGTATCAAATGAAAGGGCTTGGTAAGTATAATACAGTGCACTATACAAAATCACAATTAGAATCTCCCACCCAAGTCAAGATCTTGTATCCTCTCGAGGACTGTGTGGCGTAAGGGTGGCTAAAAATGATACAAAAAAAACAAATAAAAACTTCAAAATAAAAAAAAAATAAAAATAAAACTTTTTTTTATTTTTATTATTTATTACAAAATATATTTTCATTGCCTCGGTAATGCTGCATGTGGTGTAATAAAATAGTTTGCTAAATAATCTCTGAGATTATAATCTGAAGACAGTGGAGTTATTTGACGGAGAAAGAATACATAACTCACCGCCCCTTCCTTTCCTGTGGGTGTCGTAAGAGGCGACTAAAGGAATTCGAGCTCAGATCTGCTCGCAACTGGTGGTAGGGTTTAATCCCGCCTGGTTAGTTACCACCGTACACACATGGTGAAAAACCCGTGAAGTGCTCGCTCGTAGAGCGCGTTTCGGGATCAGCCAACGTACAACCAGAGCTCGGGACGACATTGCCGCGACTGTTTCGGTCCGGTGGGTGCCTCCGTCGAACCAGTGCCAGGAGGACTGCATCGACCCGCCAGCCAGGGAGACCCGTAGAAACGGCTGACCGCTGGCCGCCCGTGGTACAGTACAGGGGCCCAAGCGTGCCTAACCAGCTCGTGAGGCTGCCCTATCATGCCACGCATAATCTTGGGGTGGACCGTCGTGCCGGTTGGTGACCGGAGCGTGGGTCCCGGCGGCCACTCCCGGGGGGGTACGGGGGCCCTTCCGTCTGGCGGATCGGTGCTACTCCTCTGTGGGCAACACCTGGGGAAACAGGCGCCCATATTTTTGACTGGAGCAGTCGCGACAATGCCCTCCCGCTTCACGTCTCCTCACCCCTTATCCTTATGGCAGCCACAGCAACACGTTCTGGTCGTACAGCGGTGCACAACCCCACGCCTTCGCTGTTTGAGGTTGAGTTCTCTAATATACGGGGACTCCATGCCAACCTCAATGCTGTCCACCAACACCTAGAGACAGCACGGCCTGCAATGTTGTTTCTGACGGAGACGCAAATTCTCCGCCCGGCCGATACAAGCTACCTTCACTATCCCGGCTACGCACTTGAAGAGTCCTTCAAAGCGAAAGCCGGTGTATGCTTGTTTGTCCGGGCGGATGTTTGCTGTCACCGATTGCGCTGCCTAGAAGACCCTTCCTTTTCCCTCCTAGCGGTGCATATAGACTTAGGTCATCAGACTCGAGTCTATGTGTGCCTCTACAGATCCCACACTGGCGATGCGGAGACAACTCGACTTTATGACCACCTCAGTCGGGCGGCAGATTACGCGCAGGAGCAGTATCCTAACGCAGAACTGGTTTTCTTGGGGGACTTCAACGCTCACCACGAATCGTGGTTAAGTTCCTCCAAGACGGACCATGCGGGGAGATCAGCCCACGCATTCGCTCTCACGCATGACTTGACTCAAATGGTCGATCAGCCCACCAGGATCCCAGACATAGTCGGTCAAACGCCTTCCTTACTGGACCTTCTGCTTACGAGCCATCCCGTCGGTTATCAGGTTGATGTTCGTGCCCCACTGGGCAATTCCGACCACTGCTTGATATCCACCAAAGTGCCGCGAATCGAGCCCCCTCAACCTCCGAGGACTCGACGACGCGTATGGCACTATGGCTCAGCGGATTGGGACGGCATGCGCGAGTACCTTGCATCCGTTCCTTGGAAGCAGCGCTGCTTTAGTGAGAAGGATCCGACAACGAGCGCCGTTGCTATTACTGAGGAGATCGGTATTGCTATGGAATACTACATTCCGCACTCCGATCTGATCAGTATGGGCAAACACAACCGCTGGTTCAATCGCGATTGTGCTAACGCTGTTGCGTCTAAACAGCTGGCATATCGAGCTTGGATCAGGGGTCGTGCTCGGAGGGATCCCGATATCGACTCAATAAAAGCAGCCTACAATCAGGCTTCCAAGTCCTGTAAGAAGGCTTACATCAGAGCGGATGCCCAGCGCGTCGCACGTATTGGCCATGAGCTAGTTACGCACCCTACGGGCTCCCGTAGCTACTGGCGTCTCGCCAAGGCCGTGCAAAACAATTTCTGCCAGCCCTCGCTGCCACCGCTTCGATGTCCAGATGGAACATTAGCTCACAAGCCGCAGGAGAAAGCCGACCTCTTGGCAAGCCTCTTCGCGGCTAATTCCCAAATCAATGACTGTAATGCACTGCCACCAACGTTACCTTCTAGTGGCTTCACTATGCCTGATATTCATATCAGGCAGCGTGATGTGCGTGCGGAACTACAGTCACTCGATGTCCGGAAAGCTAGTGGTCCTGATGGCATACCTGCGGTTGTTCTAAAAATGTGTGCAGCGGAGTTGACTCCTGTACTTACGCGCCTATACCAGCTATCTCTTTCTTCGGGTCGTGTACCTGAGGCTTGGAGAGAGGCCATTGTGCAGCCAGTGCCCAAAAAGGGAGATCGGTCAGACCCTGCAAACTACCGCCCTATAGCTATCACCTCTGTGCTGTGTAAAGTCCTGGAAAGGATTATTAACTCCCAACTGATCCGATACCTAGAAGATCACTCCCTTATAAATGATCGTCAATATGGCTTTAGACCAAAACGATCAACGGGTGATCTTCTAGCGCACGTCATGCACCTCTGGGGTGAAGCTATAGACAAGCGCGGCGAGTCCTTGGCTGTCAGTCTTGACATTGCTAAGGCATTTGACAGGGTTTGGCACAAGGGACTTCTCTCCAAGCTTCCGGCCTACGGTCTGCCCGTTCAACTCTGCGCCTGGATAGCCGACTTCCTGCGTGAGCGTAAAATCCGTGTTCTTTCTGACGGATGCTCTTCACAGCTTATGTCGGTCAGCTCCGGTGTGCCTCAGGGCTCCGTTCTATCCCCTACACTTTTTCTGCTGCATATCAATGACATGCTTCCACTTGGAAATATCCATTGCTATGCAGACGATAGCACAGTGCATGTGGGATATCACGGGGCTCCTACAGTCGGACGGGCGGAAATCCTGGAGAAAAGGGAGAATCTTGTCATTGAGCTCAATCACGTTCTGGATCTCATATCGAAATGGGGTGCTGAAAATCTGGTTGAGTTCAATGCCAAGAAAACTCAGGTTTGCGTATTTACCGCCAAGACCCCTCCATTCCCTTCCCTTCCCTCTCTTCAGGGCACAACCTTGCCTCTACAGAGCAGCATCAACATGCTCGGGATGGAAGTGCGCTGTGATCTGAATCCCAAAAACCACATCGAGTCTGTTATTAAAACAGCATCTCGTAAACTCGGTGTCCTGAATAAGGTGCGGCGTTTTTTCACGCCCGAACAACTGTGCCTGCTATACAAAACGCAGGTCCGGTCATGCGTGGAGTATTGCTCGCACCTTTGGGATGGCTCCGCTAGGTACTTACTCGATGCTTTGGATAGATTGCAGCGCCGCGCAGTACGCATTATTGGCAATGGAGAAGTCACCAAGAACCTAGAAAGCCTGCAACTGCGCCGAGACGTTGCTTCGCTCAGCGTCTTCTACCGTCTCTACCATGGTGAATGCTCTGAAGAACTCTTTTCCCTTATCCCTCCATCTCCCTTCCTCCTCAGGACCACACGTGCTGGTTTGCGTTGCCACCAACTAACTGTGGCAGCGATTCCTTCGCGTACAAAGAAATTTGGCGACTCATTTCTTTGTCGTACTACCAAAAAATGGAATTGTCTCCCGGCCCATGTATTCCCTCCTTCCTATGACATGGGGTCCTTCAAGCGGGGCGTGAAGAAGCACCTTGCAGGTCGGCAAGGTGAGGTTGGCTAGTGCAGTACCTACGTACTGTTTTCACTAGCTGTCCTCGCGTTTGGACTACGCCTCCGCTTACCATCAGGTGGAGCGCAGTCAAAGATTTTGTGGTGCTGGTATTGATTCTGGAGTGAAGTCAATTGTTTCAAATTGTGGTGGATTGTGCTGAATACCTTCTCTGCTTCGTACATAATTGTGCAATATACACGCAGATTTTACAATATTTGTATCTTTTTGCGGGTCACGACAACGTATGGGTCTATCTAGAACGCCAAATTTCTCAGCCATCATACCAAATGTACATTCAACAGTCCTTCTTCCTCGACTCAGCCTATAATTAAACACTCTTTTTATATTATTCAAAGTTCGTTTTGGATATGGTCTCATCAAATAACGTAATAATGGAAACGTCTCATCACCTACGAAATAATATGGAAAATCTTTGTCATCGTTAGGTAATCTTGAAGGCGCGGAAATATTAGCAGCGTTTTCTAGCCAATGTTTAATAGCTGAAGCACGAAATATTCCACCATCACTATTTCTCCTAGCGTAGCCACATTCAATTAATGTAAATAGCCCGTCAGCATCACTACATGCCATCAAGACGAAAGAATGAAATGAATTGTAATTAAAATTACTTGATCCTGAATTAGGGAATTTTTCTATTCGGATATGTTTCAGAGATGTTCATTTAATTAGTATTAATTAATACTCAACTAATTATAATAAAATTAAAAAATCATTTGCAACTGTCGATGATGGTATCATGGACTATTTCGAAGCCAGAAAGGCTAAACTTAAAAAAAAAAACTGAAGACATAGAGGATCCTAAACGAATGTTTTTACTAAGCTTACTACCAGACATGAAAGCAATGTCCGATAGTCAGACGAGAACCTTCAAGCGAAGAGTGCTGACTTTGACACCGCCACATCAAGTCGCAACCTATAATGCTGAAAAACAAGGTGCTTTTCTCTCTACGCAAGAGCTGCCGGTATCAAATGAACAGCAAGCCACACCAGCATATAATAATCACATTTTGTCATACTATGAATCAGTACCATTTCTAATTAATACAAAAGAACAGAATTAAAAGTGCATTAACGAATAAAATATTAATTTGTGACTAACAGCCGCACTCAGAGATGTTCATTTAATTAGTATTAATTAATACTCAACTAATTATAATTAAATTAGTTAATTGTACTTACCTCCCAGAGACGAAATTTAACGGTCCGTTAGTTAATTATAGCTTTAAGTAATAATAGGACGGTGCATATTATCGAAACGCATGTCGATACAGTGTAGTATTGCCACACGCATTAAGTCATTGAAATAATGTTTGGGTAAAGTAGTTTTTACACCCAAATATTTATATTTTCCATTATAGTTGAAGTAATTTACGTAAATTCTTGTTGTTTTCACTTAAAATATGTACAAATGAAATAAATAAAACTAAACAAACTAACAATTCGATGATTTTTGAATACGGCGACACCGAACGCTATTGTCATTGTCAAACTAACATTTAAAATTGAAAATTTGTGTTTTTGTTTACGTTCGTGTTAAATGAGTTATTTTATTTATATTTGGAATTATCTGGATTAATAATGATAAGTACCATTATTTGCATATTATCAATAAATAAAAAATACACTCGTGTTAAATCCAACTTTTAATTTTAGAAAGATATTCACAATTAATTACAATGTTCTACTAAACATCTGTGATCTTTGATAACAATATAAATATTTTATTCTATTTTAGCATGTGAAGATGTTATAGAAATGCATACAGCAACCTCTAAAGGCAGCAATTATGAACTTGCTGAGAAACGCAAACCATCGGATTACATTCGAAAAGAAGGAGTTCAACGGTTAAAATACTTTGAAATAAAGAAGGAAATTGAACTCCAAATATTAAAAGCAAAGGTTCGTACTTGTTTGCATTTTTTAATACCTACATTAACATTATAAAGAAAATGAATACACCACTCGCAACATTTCACAGGCATTGTAAAAGAAAGAAATACTATAACTTGAGTAGCATAACACAGCAAACATAATATTTGTAGTGAAGTTTGCCCCTGAAGTGACTGACATGCTATATAATGTTAATAGGTATTAATATTATCTCTGGAATTATCAGAAATGAGGTTTAAATAATGTTTATAACATATATTTAATTTTAGTTGGAGACTCAACAAATAAAGAAACAAACAGCCGAGACGGATCATGAGAAAAACAAAATTCTTTTAGAAAAGGCAAAATTAGAATTAATTGATCTAAAAAAAAATAGGTTTAGAATAATGAGAGGATGTTATATATATATAGAAAATAAAAATATTGTTTTCACATGAATTACTAGTTTTATTACACTTTTGATTCTATGTTTATTCAATCATTAGTATATAATATGTATTCATAAAATAAAGATAAACAATATTCAACGATAGAGTAGCTGCTGTGGGTTTAAAGAGAATCCCAGCACTAATGAGTTTTGTTTGACAATGATTTTGGAACTACTAGGGATTATTACTAAAAATCAATCAACTAAAGACTGTCTATTTTTCGACAAATTAGATGAAGTAATGGATAAATATAAATTTAGCGCATCACATATATGTAATGTGGATGAAACTGGAGTGTCCTCTGTGTGGAAGCCAAATAAAATTGTAGCTGCGAAGGGTAAGCGTAACATCGGCGCCATGACTTCTGGGGAACGAGGCACTAACGTTACAATGATAAATGCTGTATCTGCTTCTGGAAACACAGTACCTCTTATGTTTGTATTTCCTAGAAAAAAATTTAAGGACCATTTTATTAATGGTGGCTCCCTGACTGCATAGGAGAAGGAAATGCTAGTGGATGGGTTACGAATGCAGAGTTCTTGCAGTTTATGAAACATTTTATAAAACATGTGAAACCATCTAATGAGCACCGTGTTTTGCTAGTATTAGATAACCACTCCTCTCATTTATACTTTGAGACAATAAACTTGGCTAAAGAAAACGGCGTTATTATGTTATCATTTCCACCGCATTGCAGCCACAAACTGTAACCTTTGGACGTCTCAGTGAATCGCGCTGCTCCCGCGCGTTTTTATTACTATGGAGTCTTTACTTCGCGTTCAGTTGCGTTGCGGATACCGCGCGGTGAGCACGTCACTGCTCGTGAGTTCGCCATGGATCGTTTCGACACTGAACTATTTATTGATGAGGTGGAGAAGAGACCTGCAATATGGGACATTCAGTGTGATGATTACTCAAATAAAATTATCAAGAACCGAGCTTGGCAAGAGTTGGTGGAGATATTCGGAAATTGCGAAGACACTGTGGAAAAAAAGAATATTTTAAGTAAGTAGGTTTATTCACCAAAAGAATTGACAGAATTATGTTATAATTATTGTTACGAAGCGTATATTATACTCTCCGTATACTTTAGGTACTTAAATAAATATAAACAAACTTCGGCTGCTTCAGGCATTTCGAGCATTTTTCAAATGAAGGAGTATATTTCGTTTGTTTACATTTAGTCATGTACCTAAACATTACAAGTACGGTATGTTAGTTGCAGCTATATCTTTTTGTCTTGCCATGGCACACGCCCATCGTTCACAAAGTAATGAGCGAATTTATCTCTGATATTCAAAGATGACGGTGTCCCTCTTCCCGCATGCAAGGTATTGAGATTAGTCATGGGTGCATTATATAAAGTATCTTTAAATTTTAGACCATCTCTAGTCCGCACATAGTTATGTAGAACACAAGAGGCTTTTATTATGTCTTCGGCAAAATCTATGTTTACATTTATAGGTCTATGAAAGATGCGCCATTTGTTCGCCAAAATACCAAAAGTGCACTCAATATTACGTCGGGCTCTCGATAACCTATAGTTAAAAATCCTTTTTTCATATGGTAAACATTTGCCTGAATATGGGCGCATTAAATTTTCTGCTAAGCCGAAGGCTTCATCTCCAACTATAACATAAGGCATTGGTGTTAGGTGTACATTAGATATTGGTTTAGGTGTTGGTATGTTTAATGATTTTTCTGTCAGGCGTTTATAAAACACCGAATTTTTAAATATAGCAGAATCACTGCTTTTGCCATAAGCTCCAATATCAACATAAGTAAAGCAATAGTTGGCGTCGCAAAGTGCTAAGAGCACTATGGAAAAGAAATGTTTATAGTTATGATACAAAGAACCCGAATCAACAGGCTTTATAACTCTGATATGCTTGCCGTCTATAGCACCAATGCAATTTGGAAAATTTGCATATCTCTCAAAGTCTCGTGCTATTGCCTTCCAGATATCTTCAGTCGCTTCTGGCATAACTATGTTTACCAACTTATTCCACAATGATTTACATACTTCGCGGACAATTCCAGTAATCGTCGATTTTCCTAGACGATAATTGTAGCTTAGTTCTCCAAATGAACAACCCGTACCAAGATATCTGAAACAAGAATATTATTAATAATGTTATTATTTTTAGGTACACAACTCCAAAAAAAATGGAAAAACATACGAGATTGCTACAATAAAGAATACAAAAAAGGAAAAACAACTCCTTCTGGTTCAAGTGCTCGTAAAGGAGCCCAATATATGTATTTTGCAAGATTATCTTTCCTGCAGAATAGTGTAAGTAATAAAGACACTACAACTAATATTGAAGAACAGAATGAAAGGCAAAGTGAGGAGACAAGTCAACTAAACGCCAATGTAACCGAAGCCACTGAAATACGTCCCCCTAAACGTAAGAAAACACAAGTGCCAGAAGAAAAAATAGCTGTTTTAATAGAAAAAAGTATCGAGTCACGAAAACATTTTGAGAATGAACTTCAAGAAAATAGTATTACCAAGCAAGATGACGACAAACTCTTTTGTTTGTCGTTATATAAAGAACTCAAAAAAGTACCAGAAAATAGGCGTTTAGCAACCAAAATTGAATTGCTTCAAGTGATACAAAAAGGACAAATCTTACCACCCCCTGTTCGCTACAATAATCAGCAGATCACACCTACGTATTGGCAAGGACAACAGTATACAAGCCCGCAAGGATATTTTACTACATCTGGATCATCTCCTCCTGTTCCGGCACCGTCACCGTCACCATCGCAATTTAGTTCTGGCTCTCAGTCCTCTACAGTTATAGAAAATATTTATGCTGATTTTGAAGAACAATAAATAAATCTTACCTTAAAGTTATTACGAGTTTCTCTTCCGGTGACACGCTTGGCCTCAAATGCGTTTCAGAGCATGAAACATCTTGCCTGATCAGTTCAATTAGTTCATCAAAAGATTTTATTGACATTCTCAAATAGTTAAAAAATTTGTTATCATACATTCTTAATTTGGGATATAACGTTACGAACTGACCATGTACTAGTCGGTCACGTAATATTGGATGCACCCAATACCGCCTTTTTCTTTTCTTTTTTTTAAGGAGCAACAACCACAGTAAACACACTTCTTCGTCGACCTCCATTTTGAAACTGACGCTACACGCACGAAATCGCATACTAACCGCGCGTGTCTGAATAGCATCTGAATTTTGCGGTTACAAACCGCGCGATTCGTAAACGCACGATTCCCGCATGTCTGAACGGAACAAAGAAAAAAAATGTTTAAAAAAAAGAAACTTCAGTCGAGTGAGGATGAAGACGAAGAAGATGACTTTGCCTGTCTGGTTTGCTGTGAAGTCTATTCTACAAGTCTACCAGGGGAAAAATGGATCCATTGCCAAGTTTGTAAGGAGTGGGCACATACAAATTGTGCTTCAAGTGCTGCTCTTTCTTTCGTTTGCATTAATTGCAACAGCAACAACGATGATTAGTGGGATCTCATTATTGTGTTTTTAATAGTTATATTTAGTTATATAGTCGCTATAAATATCATAAAGTCTGATTTTAAGTAGAAAGCTGAGTCTACTCCAATGATTAAATTTTAGAAAAGTATTTTTTTGCTCTTAGTTTCGGTTGCACTGATTGTAACAGGGACAAGTGTAATTAATAAGATCTCATTATTTATATCTCAATAATGCCTTTTTTATAGTTAGTTTACCTATAGTTATAAAGTCATTATGTATGAAAAAGTCTGATATAAGTAGAAAAACAACAATCTATTCCAAATAACACTAGTTTTACAAAGGTTGACTATTGTAGATTCTCTTTTTAGTTAAATATTCAAAAGACAATTACTTTTTGTTTCACTATTATGTTCCGAAATTATTATAAATAAAACGTCTGATTGTCAAATGATAGTTTTATTCTACGTTTAGTTAACATTTAAAACATAGTTTAGTTGGATTTTTTAACTGCTCAACTTGCCTCATACCCTTACCCTTGCTCAACTTGCTTCACCTATGGGGTATATTGAGCATGTCTGGCTTCTTTCACTAAATTGGCTGTACCTCTTAAATGTGACTTACTATAAAAAAATTACTATGGACACTTTAAGTGAGAATTATATTACTTATCCATCCCTATAAAAAACAAGTAATTTGAATTTATCGTTGAGGAGCTACGACTGATCAAATCAAAATTTGCTCAACTAGCCCGCTCTACTCTACTTTGTTCAATAAGATTGTAGTGATGAACGTAATTTACCGAGACAGATTAAAAATACTAACCAACTAGCACTTAATACCTTTTTACTAGGAGTAGATGAGGGGATCTCCCATATATTGAGATCACGCGATCCAAAAGATTTGTATGAAGCTTTGAACATGGCATTACAAGAAAAAAATCCTTATGTTAAAAAAATATTCCAACTTAGCCAGTAATTGTAGAAGCAATACATATTGAAATAAATAAATTTGAATTGTTAAATGAATATTAATTAATTAAATTGAATTATTATTTTTACTAACGGTAGAATTAAGTCTGATTGTTACTAACACCATATGGATGTAAAATCTGAAATAAATTATTATTATTATATTGTAGTGAATGTCGAAAAACAGGACATAAGAT